GTTCTGAAAAACAGTACGACTATTTTTCGATCGCTGAAATTAGCACAATAGCATTTTATCCGCACTTGTTTAAAAACAAAGGTGCCAGGGGTCCAACTCTTTCTGGGGACGGGAGTGGGTCTCTAAAAGGTAGGTCTTCTTGACTTGAAGCCAGAATTACTGATTATCAAAACTAAATTTTAGATTAATTATTATACAGACGTGATTAGCAAAAATTATTAGTCTTTTTTTTCATCTGTTCTCGTCTTCGTTCTATTTAGTGAACCCTCCGCGTTTCTGATTGAGATGACCTAATAACACCTTGTTCGCGAAAGGACCTCTCTGCGCGAAAGTTAGGCATCTTATAGTCTTATGTGTGTACGTATGTAGCCTAATTCAATAACACTGACCTCATTTTGAAGGTTGACATTTCGAAAAATGTTGGCAAAGCGCAAACTGTGCAAATCCCTTTTGCATTTAGTGCTCAGCAGATGTCGAGAAATCGTCGTGGTATTCCAAAGAATTGAAGTTCCGAACAGCAGTCGAACTTAATTGCGGCATTCAAAGTGCCGCAATTATATCCCATGTTTGCGCAGTTAGTCTGCTTTCGCCGGATTCTAACGCATTGCTTTTTTTGCTATGCACACAATGTGCAGTACGACTACATGGTGCTCTTCGTAAGATTATGGCGTAATGATCCAAAATGAAGGAATGGGTTGTGCAGAGTGGAATGTGGAGCCGTGTTCATACATAAGGGCGTAGTCATGGAAGAGTCGGCGGATTCGGTGTTCTACGAGAATGCGCGTCATTGGGAGTATAGGTAACGGCCAGCAACTTGGGAGAATAGGAGAATTGGCAGATCGAGGTTTTGGGGCACTGGACGACGAAGGACTGGACGGTTATCGATTGAATGCAGTCGCTATCGATGCGACTCTCGTGGCAAACTGAGTTACAGCGCATGTGTAGGGTGGGAAATCACCTGAAAACTTCAGAGCGAGTTCATACCTGGTGATGGCGCGATCGCGCCGCTTGATTGTATCGCGCGATCACGACCGGGATCACTCCACTGCCTATCGGTCAGGAATGGTTTTTTTTCCACCACTGCAGGTCAACACTACTACCTTCAGACATTATTACTGTATGGGTATCAGGATACACGTGCCGCTGAGGAAAATGTATGGAAAATAAGACCCCTCCCTACTTTCGTTCTGTTTCGTTTACTACTGAAACGGAAGAAACCGCGAAAGTCAATAACCAGGATAAGTTTTTTCGCAACGCGACAAATTTCTCTTGAAGGCAGATACGACCCCCCTCACCCAACGACAGCCAAATACGATCCCCTACTTATGTAATTGGAAGTGAAACAGAAAAAAATCAACTATCAAAAGAAAATTTTAGATGTAGTGCGACCCTCACCCATCCAGCGATCAAATGCGACCCGCGCCCTCCCCACCCCTTCCCGTGGGGATTCCCCAACATGGAACCTGCGCTGGTGTGTATGATTGTCCAGGGAATAATAATGTACACCTAAAGGCTTCGATGGTGTCAGACACGTTTCGTGACAGTGTGGTCGTAACTGCATCATAACCGAAATCATCCGACAGAAATAGATGTAAGCATGCATGCTCACCATGCATGCTCAGTGATGACGCTAACAAAAAAAGCGCGGAAAATTGGTATAGGCAAGCAAACATGAATGAAAAATTGTAGGTTATTTCCTTGTTTTTTTTTGCTGGGAAAACGCAGTTTCAAATGCTTAGACGTGAGCAGTGAAGTACCACCTCATGCAAGTGCTTACAGTGGAGCAGCAGCTAAACGCGATCGTTTCCGCAAGAAACGCAGCAAAACAACGCCGTCTGTGCTGAAGGTTTCTTCATCAAATCTCAGTTCGTCATCTGCTTGCACTCCTCCTGCCAGTCCATCTCCTCTGCAAACTCGTCCGCAGCTATGTGATTACCTCACTGTTAGAGATGCAGGCAGTCAACAGAGCCAAACCAGCGGTATCGGTCAGTTCAGTAGCTTGGTTCTCTTTGATGGTTGATTTCATTCAGGAATAACCTGTAAGCAGGAATGTCGCGTCTAGCACGTATTTCAGGGTTTTCTCCGTCTCAATCTTCAAATCCTGGATTTATAACGTTTGAAGTTGGAGCCGCTCAGGAAACATCATCTTCACTCCCAAATGGGTGCAGTGATCAAACAGAAAGTGATGTGAAAGATGACACTGAGCAGTGCTTCGATCTGAGGTTTTTTTCGAGTTTTTTTCCCTTCCTTTTCGTGAATGTTTTTACAGAGAAATATGAGTTTCCCAATAAGCTCTTAAATTAAAAAACGAAGAGTTGGGCAAACAATGGCAATCAAGCGTTATGAGACACTGAGACTGAGTACAAAATCCATTAAACGCTGAACTATCAGCCTTAGCTCTCCACTGTAGGATTTCCCAAATATCTCTTTTTTTTCTCTAACATTGCCCAAGCGAACGATTGAAATAGTGGCTTTGGACTTCTTGAACGAGGCTTGTACGAGTGGCGACAAAAGTGTGAGTATCAGGGTCAGACATGGCTTCGTGAGAAGTTTTCTCCTCATTGTTAGTACTAGCCTTTCCCCACTTATCGCTCTCCTCAATTACAACTTACGACCCCCATTGCCCGTCGAGTGCTTAGGGCAGTCGCATTGTAGGACGATGAGTACTGTAATCGCGGGGTGTGTTTTAATGATGTCTCTTACTTACTAGGGAAGGTCGTCAGGTCGAAGTGGCCATTTGTAATGAGATGTAGCTCACTAGACGTGGTTTTGGACGCTGATCTCGAATCTGCCTTCGAAATTTGCAGAACGATTCTATGAACGGAGTTATGGAGCTTTTTCCACCGCGTTTACCACGCAACAGGTCGTGGGATCGGATCCCTGCTGGCTTAACTTTTTTGCTTCTTGTGCAAACGTGGCAAAAAGTGGTTGTGGCGTCACTGCTACATTAGCGCTCTCCTTGACTTGCCTGAAAAACAGTTTGTGTTCGCTTACTGGCGCGCTTAGTGCCTTATGTGCCCTAGTGCCTCTAGGAGAATTTTTGGATGTACAGGTGCCCTTGGCGCGGAGTGCAGCCGTTTTCGCGCTGTGAGCGAGTGCCATATTCTTGTTTATCGGAGCGAACTACGCCTAGGTGGAGGTTTCTAGCCAAATCTGGCGTTTTGACCTCACTTCGACAAGTGAAGCATCCATGGGTTCGTTCATTCGATGTTCACACCTATTCCACTGCAGATACATTCTCCTGCGCAAAGCCTCGTCTTGCCATTTCTTACGCATCCATTTTGTTACTGCTCCAGTTTTCCTGGTATCGAAAAGCAAGTTCCGTCCAAAGACAAGCAATCGACAAGAGACTGACCCTGGAAGCTGCTGGTGACGCCATCATTCGATCACTGCTACCGCACTTTTCATAGTTAGGTCAAAACCTCACTTCTGGCTAGAAAGCTGTCCCCAAGGGTAGTTTTATTCCCTGAACACGAATATGGCACTCATTTGGCCGTTTGGAGTGTTTTTCCCCAGAGCGCAAAAGAGACATTTCCACTCACAAACAATGCAAAAACAAGTTCCTCTCCAAAAATCGAACTCGTTCATAGCATGGCCCGCGAAGCAGGAAGCCATTACCACTACCAGCCAACCAACCTCCGTTGAAGAGATCGTGCTTCCCGTTAATTTATGAGCGAACGCTGTGCGAGCCGCGCTCGACTCTGTTTTCCTACATTTTAATTCTAAAAACCTTCATAATTCCGTTCATAGAATCGTTCTGCAAATTTCGAAGGCAGATTCGAGATCAGCGTCCAAAACCACGTCTAGTGAGCTACATCTCATTACAAATGGCCACTTCGACCTGACGACCTTCCCTAGTTAGAGTAAATTTTTGCATTCTTGGCAAAAAAAAATGTGATCACCAGGCATTTCTTCTCCTGGCCCGCCTAAACTGTCTGTGTGGGGAGAGGCAGGCTGATGACAACGGTTCTCTAATGAAAACACCTTTTTGACAAACAATTGTTAGTGTTTTTTTTTCTGTTTTCCATTAATTACCTACACTGTCGCATGGCTCCGTCATCTTAAAGACAGCCAAGTGCTCAGCTAACCCTTGGGCGTCCTTCCTTGTTCAAGAAGTTTGTCCGCAGTCCCACTTTTCTCGCTCCACCGCTACTAAGCCTACGTCTTGTGGACCTCATAGTGGCAGTTATGACGCCGTCTTAGCTGTACAGCCCACAAAAATTCAAAGGCTATTTTCTATCGCGGGCTCGGTTTCTCACCGTGTTTCTCGTTTTCTTTTTTCGTTAGTGGATGAGATTAGCATTGGATAACAGAGTCAAGCAACGATTAGTGAGTCAGAGGAGGCAGTATATAGCCTTTCTGGCATCCAACAAGGTCCGGAAAACTAGAACAATGAGGTTAATAAGGGATCCTCAGGGTTTCTCATGATTTTTTTGATTTTTTTTTCTTCCCTGGAGAATCACTTAGCGACTTCAGGTCTGTAATAGAATACCCCTATCCGCAATATGCAATCGCAGATTTTGTCCTTCAGTTGTAGGCTTGTGTCGTAGTTAATCAAAAGTCTAATAGCCAGCCGTTATGTGAGGCTCTCCACAGCTTCTTCAGTGTTACTAAAAGCCACGGTGGCGTATATTATTGAAGTAGAATAAGGAGGGATGAAGGAAGGGACTACTTGAAAGTTTTGATGTGTTACAACACAAGTTTTTAATGAGGGATCTGGGGTGAGTGGGCCTCTCTTTGTGGCTGAAATGTGCGATGATGGGGTAGTGTAGGTGGCTTATCTACCCACTTACAACTTGTACTTTAATGTAACAACTGCAAACTGGTCCGTGGAAAGGGCTTAGCAGCGAAAAAGTAAGCGCTTATGATGTTAGGGTAGTCGTATTAGCATTTGTACTGTCAGGTTTTATTTGGGTTTCGGATTTTGGGCCGTAATGATGCTGTTCGCACGGGGTATAACGCAATCCTATTGTGCTTTTTTGTAATGTAGCTTTCATGTTTTGCCTTCGTCTTTTTCCATATACGAAGGTTCATTCAGTATCGGACGCGTGGTGCCGCCCACACCAAGTGAAACGAGGGAACCATCAACGGTCGGTGAAACTGATCGTCCATGCATTGGCGACGGTCGAGATGAACGCCAGGACCGTTTATTCAAGCCACACTCAGACTGTGACTTATATTATGGGGACACTGCAGCGGACATAAAACAGAGCCATTCGGACAGCAGTATATACGGTTCGGAGTTACTGTGTTTTTTAAAGCCTGTGAAAAGAGTTATGAACCAATCATATCGCAGATGGATCATCTGAGTCTCGTAACCATGACGGTTCCTACGTCCGAGCACGATTGAAGGTCTCCAAGAAAATGGACAATTTACCTTCTATAAAAAGGTAAGTTCTTCATGTTTTTTCCCGCATAACGCAGCGCTCAGACTTCGCGATGACGCGCCTCAACGCGCTACCAACGCGAAAGAACTGTAATGCCTTTATAAAAAAAGCGCAGTCGTGTATCTATCGGCTTCGTCCGCTAGTGTTGGCGAGAACAAAGGAGAATAGTAGAGTACCAAACTGTATTAGGCAACGCCTACCGCCCTGTCATCAATCCCGTCCGTGACTGCGTCCCCTTTTGTAGCGGTGGAGCGCCATTGCAATGGTGGCGTGTTGACGAGCGTCATCGCGAAGTATTAACGCTGCTCAAAAAAAGTAATAGGTTGTAACTGTCTTCTTTTTGAAGGGTAGTTCGTTTTGCTTCAGAGGTATATTGAGCACAAGTCTAGCTGGAGGATCTCTTATCGCCGAGGTGCTTTTACTGAATGCACGTGTACTTGGATTGGGAGATATGAGCGGCTCAAAAGACTGTCACACACCTTTGTGAGTTTTGGAGTGGAATTACTGGGAGAAAACTTTTTTCGATTTTTCGACTTTGTAGTCACCTACGTGAACGCCTTCAAGGCATTTTAATGTTATACTTTGAAGATACCGGAATTGCCGAGTGGACAGAGCGGGAGACGAGGTCATTAGCGTGTTTCTTTTCTGTCACTCCCGTGCCGGTGAAGAATTGAGAAAGAGAGGCGCGCGAGTTTCATTATTTCCTGGCTCCATCCCCTGGGCAATCCCGAGCGATACTTTGAAGTGAAGTATCAAAATTTTCTAGGGATAGAATGAGCTTGCATTAAGTACAGTGTTCCTTCACGTTAGCCCCCCAATGTAATTTATGAATAAGGATCCCCCAGAATAACTGTCAGTAACTTCAGAGAGCAATATCGTGAGCTGAAGGTAATGAACAATTATTTTGGTATTGGTCTCGATGCAAAGATCGCTCTGGAATTCCACAATAAGCGTGAGGAGTCCGAGAAGGTAAGCTTCGTTTTGCTCAAGCTTAGGTCGAAAATTTTTGAACGGCTGTAATTTCGAATTTTGAGACTCGTAGCCGGTCCCGACTCTTTATGTGGTACGGTATACTTGGCGGTAAAGAGCTCATGCATAGAACATACCGGAATCTTGACCAACGGATTCGATTGGAATGTGACGGGGTACGCATTGAGCTGCCCTCCCTGCAAGGTTTGTACTTTCCCATATTTATCCCTATGTAGCTGCTGTTTGCTGCCATTTAATTTTTGCGTGGCTGCCTACTTCAAAATAATAGGGTAATAAAAGTGAAAGTGCATAGCATTCATTTTCGAATTGATGGAATTTAAATAGCGAAGTAATATAGGTTATAAACTCTTCAAGTAACTGCGCTGCAGAGACTGCATAAGAGAGGATTATTAAGCGTTTGCTGAAAGAGAGGGGATCCTTATAGACGCCCTCAAAGCACAAGGTAGATCAGGCTGTCATTGCCAGGGGTGACATTTGTATGGCAGGGGTGCGGCGAAGATATCAAATTGAAACCCCTCGGTTCATTAGTACCATCCCGATTTTACGAATGACTGTATTCCACCTGAGTTTTGGACTAAGCAAGGCATTTCATTAATTGATCCAAAAGTCCCGAAACTTTTACAGCACTACTCTTGAAAGCTGCATTCTGCGTCTAAGCTCAATGGAGCACCTGATAAGTCTTAGGCATTGTTCACGGTCCGCGACCTTGACGAAACGGCGGTTGGGAGAAAAGCAAAAAATAGTCATCGATCGGAGAATCGCCAACCGCTAGTTTCGCCGAACCGCCGCGGTTCGGCGGTTGGGCGAAAAGCAATAAATGCGTATCGATTTCGCTGGCGAAAAACGCAGCGATCGAGCTAGCGTTTCGTTGGAGGCGAAAAACGTCGCGGTTGTCCGTCGTTCGTATCAAAACCCTTTCGCCCAACCGCCAGTCGATACGTATCGAAAGCTTTTCGCCGAACCGCTGCGTTCCAGAGAAGCGCTGGGCCGCAGACTGTGAACAATGCCTTACTGTTCAGATCCTCGTTTATATTGACAGCAAGTCCCGACATCACACAACTGATTGCCGCGTAGCGATATCCATGGAGATAGGTTACCCCCACCGGGACTCCTGATTTTTTTTACAACGGGATGCATACCGCTACATCTTTTTGCATCGTTGATCAAATATCAGTATCCAGGTCTACTCAGCGATTTCTGAATGGACCTGCGATGGTTTCTTCTGCTATCCCTCAAGATCACATAACACTTTGATATCGGGCAAGTTGGAGTTCAGCTGTAGCTAACAAGGTGGTTCAGAGGAACGTTTAGCAGATCCGGAGGGCACGTCCAAGCTAGCGCTCCGAAACACTCACACAAAATAGTGCTAGATTAAGTATACAGAGAATGTCTCTCCTAATGAGAAACTGCAGAGTCACCTCTGGCGATTGTCCTTGCCACGTGCGAGGCGAATGGGGTGCAGCTGTGGGGGCATGTCCTTTCCCCGCTTGAAAATGCGCACGGAGTATCTAGATAGAAGTGATACTCACCTTAGTACCCTTCGAACTCCGCCCGCGCTATCCTCATTGTGCAGTGCTTGCCAAAGTTCTGCAGCGTAACACCACACACACACACACACACACACACACACACACACACACACACACACACACACACACACACACACACACACACACACACACACACACACACACACACACACACACACACACACACACACACACACACACACACACACACACACACAGCCGTAGAGAGCAACCCGTGTTGAGAGGCAAGTAGCGTGTTTGCTACGGTTAGGAGTGTGATTGGCCGTGCGGCTGCGTGAGACGTGTATAGAGACGGTGCGCGGGTATCACTACCCTCCATCACCCCTGCTCTTTTGACTTTTTGAAAGTGGCTACTGCAGCTGCGCACCCATCATCCCACACATGGCAAGAACCAGGAAGTGAGTGTATAGTCTCTATACACGTCTCACGCAATCAGTGCCCAAGCAGTGTCTCTTCACAGGCACACTTCGCTATGAAAAATTTCTCCTATCCACGATTCGTGACTGAGAAGCGTGCTTCTGAAGTGAGTAGCTAAGGGTTGTGTGGAAATACCAACACGGAATATTTGAACATTCCTGGCGCTTCTTACTGTTTTGGAAATTTTTTGTTATACCTTCATACTTTAAATTAAGTCAGTAGTGAGCTTAAACTAACATGTGACCATTTGCCGAGGAAAATAATAAATAAGAGCCGGATTTTGATGTTGAATGGTTTTTTTCTTGTGTTAGTAAAGCGTTTGTCTAAATTAATTAAAAATTGCCTGAAGTCTGCCTCTCTAAAAATTGTTTGGAGAGGCTCTTCAGACTGAAGAAAAGATTCAAAACATAAGAATATTTTCTCATAAAGAATCGCAGAATCTTCCTCTGTTTTTTTAAGGAATTGTGATTCTGAATATTCCATCTTACTCTGGAGGGGCAAATTTTTGGGGAAGTTCCAAGGATGAAACATTCACTGCGCAGAGCTTTGACGACCGTCTTTTGGAAGTTAGTTCACTCCTTTGAAATTTTCTTCTTTTTAAGTTTTTAAGTGTGTAATTGTCAGGTTGTGGCTCTTTTCGGGGTTATTCACGTAGCAACGAGTCGTGTTCCTAATGTGGTACGATTACAAAACCATCGCATTGCTCAGTGTCGTCATATTCGTATTGTGATTATGGGAACCGATCCCATTCCTGTACAGGTCAGAAAGCCTTTCCTTTCACCTCCTTTCTCGATGTTAAAGTTAAAATACTTTTATTTCATAATTATGATATTTCATGATGATATGTCTTTCCATCACAGGTTGATGGTGAGCCATGGCTTCAGCCTCCGGGCATTATGCAGATTGTGCATAAGAATCGTGCTCAGCTCCTTGTTAGAAACCCTGTAAGTGCTGGATTCTTTGTGATGTTTTCTTCACAAACTCTTGACTGAACCCACCTCGTGCATATTTGAAGGCATTTGATGCTGCACTGAAGAAATGGGAAGAGCAGAAGGAGCGAACGACTGCGCCGTCAACGCCTACTTCTGTATCGACTTCCTTGATGGCACCTCCCGGTGAAGAACTGCCTTTTGTTCGTCGTGCTGCCGAGTTCGTGCAATTGGTTGAGAGCGAGATAGCTCAACTTGGAGTGAGCAGCGGATTTCTGGAAGCTTTGGAAGCAGCAGCAATTTCCGTGCGTGCTGCCGAAGAAGAGGTGAGTGTGAAGCATTTGGGCAAGCGAATAAGTTCTCTAAATTTTCTCTCTGCTGGTCGTCGGTTGTAATTCTGCAGTTGAAGGCTCGGCTTCAAACGATAGTTCTAGTGGTTGAGTAACCGTTGAAACGCTCACGAGGGAACCTTGTCTCTTTCTGATTTTCATTTTCCAAAGCGTTCTTGCAACATGACCTATAATAGCATGTATCAGTAAGTGTGATCAAATGTTGCGAATGAACGAGGTCCAACGCGTTGGCAAGTTCTCTAAGGAATAGTCGAGTCAGAAGTAAAAGTAGAGCATGTCGCCATGACTCTCTGTAATCGGTAAAAACTTGGAAACTAACCGAGAACTACTATGGATACTATCGTGAAAAGTGCGTAGATCCATCCGATGATCAATATGCAACGAGTTGTGGAGTGGGATGCTACATTATCGGCGAAGCCCTGAATGTCATTATTTTGTTATTCAATGTTACCTCAATAGTCGTTCGAAACGGTATCTAGCTATAACAACCCCAGTGAAACAATTCCTACTAACCATAAGTATCCATCTGAATTCTGAATTTAATAGGAATTGTTTCATTGGAAATGGAGAGGCGAAGAAGGTGTAGCGGCATGTGGCGGCATGTGGCACGCTTACTACGCCCGCGGTCGGGAAGACAAATCCCGTAGCGGCTCTCGCCCAGGCCAGCTAAGGCCTCTCCGCACCGGACCCAGGAAGTGGGTACCAGACTCGTCTGGGATGGATATGAACGCTGACTTGTTATAATCGACTAGCCCAATCCACGCCGCATTCAATGCGCTCACCAAGAATCGCTGAAGGAAAATGACTACGTGTGTATTCCCCTAAGAAAGGGTATCACGACGAAGACTTATAACTTTATTCGTATGGACATAGCTTATACGGAGAGTTGTTCAAATATTTATGAATTTTTTTGGACCTCTAGGTCGTGTGGAAGTTGTTACACTTTCTCAGGCTAGTGGCATTCATTTCTTAGGTCTTGTAGGATGTCTCCGCCCCGTGTTTCGACCATAATTGAAAAACCATGTATCTCGGCTTAAAGTAAGACTTTCCGATTAGCCCACCATTTTGTATGCAAAAAACCTTTACCGACGAGAAAAGTGTGTTATTATGCCTGCATAGGAGTCCGGCTGGAGTCTTTGAAATCGACTAAGGGCGCTACAGTCTCGCACGGAGCTAAAAACTAATAGTGCGTCGAGACAGACCAACTGCCCGATACGGTACAGCATCGTGAATGTAGTGAAATGGTGGTGGCACCCCGTACGACCTCTCCCCCCCCCCTCGAAGGAGGATCTTGGTAGGAACCAATCATTAATAGTACTGACGCCGTGGAGTGGCTAGTGGCGCTGCTCAGCACGTGTCAGGTCTTGGATGAAGTCCAGGATCAGCTTTCGCCGTGCCATCGAGACCTTTCGTGCGCGCTTTAAGTAACGAAAAAAAACTTGGAAGAAATCAAGGTCACCTAAACTTTGTTTTCTAGAGTAAATGCCTGGGAAAGTAACTGAGGACTGTGGAGTGTAATGAGAGTAGCAAACAGACAACCAGAGGAACACTCACGCAAGATGACCCCTCGTTCAATAAGCCTAATAGCATTAACTCATGACTGCCGGCCCTGTCGCCGTTTAGTGTTGTGGAAGCCTGCAGAACTTTACTCATCAAAAAAGCTCGAAGGATGAAGCTTTCGTCTTTGATGAATCGCTTTTTCATTCCACTTCCATTAGAATGACAGTGACGTGTATATGCAGTGACATGTGGGGGCAAACTAGGTCAGTAGAAGTCAGTTTTCTATACTCTCAAGGAGGTCTAGTGCCAATCAGTAATCCCAGGGGACTGAAATCTTGTGTGCGTTTTTCTCTTGGCCCATGAGCTCCCATGAACATCCCGGCAATGATACGTTTCGAATTGATACTAATCCCGTTTTCACTGGCATCGAACGGTTGAACTCGGCAATAAACAGTAAGTTAAGGTTTGGCGACCTTCGACTGTGAGATGTGTCATCCTAGAAACGTTGAATGACAAAAATGACAGCGACCAAAAGACTTCACCAATTGCTTCCTTTGTAACACCCTTGACTAAGAGAAAAGCCTGGGTATTTCGGATGGTGAGCTTCTTTTGCAATGCGACGATTCTTGCCATCGTGGTCATTCCGCGCCTTTTAGCAAAATCGGTACACGAGTTGTCCGTGTCCAGTTATTGCCCTAGAGTGCGGTACACGAGTTCTCCACAGAGCACATCATTGGCTGGGGATTTTAGTCGACCCTATACGGCCCCCTCCCCCTCCAGCCCCCTGTCCCTCCTCATAAAATCGAGCCGTCGAGGCAGCGAGACAATACGACCACCCATTCCCTCTACCAATTTTCAGATTTTCCCCAACTTCCTGCCCCTTTTTTCCAAAATTTCCCGAAAACTTCCCTACTTTTTACCAAAAATTTTGCTGTGAGGGGGGGGGGGGCATATAGTACGCATGAAACAGGAAAATCACCAAAAGTCAACCGCCACTCCCAACGCCAAAACATAATACGACCCCTCCCAAAAATGATCAAATACGACCCCCTCCCTTTACAACGTCCATGAAGCGAGAAAAATCAACTATCAAAATAAATTTTTCTCAGCCCAAATACGACCCCCTCCTGGCGACCAAATACGACCCCCCCCCCTATTGGGGATTCTCCAACAACGGTGTGCCCTGGTTCTCCATATCCATTTATTGCCCTAGAGTATGGTCATTGCTTCTAATGACAGATTGCCTCTTTAGCTGGTCCTGCGGGTATGTGATGTATGGTCAAGAGAATTAATTCGCCGCGCCAGTAGGCATCGCGTGCGACGTCGCGCTGCTAATGACGACGATTTCGGGTGGTATTGGTCGAGAATAGACAATGTATGACCAAAAATAGACATAAGTGTCTACCATGTCCTTGTCTACATGAAATCCGATGCTCCAATCTGAAGAGTGGTAAAATTTAGGAAATTCGCTCGCGCTCATTGCCGCGAGTGACTAGGCGACAATTCACGATTCCCTTGCCCCTGGGCATTCAAACTAATTGAAGGCTATCTTGGCCTAAAGAAACTGCCTGAATGCAATGGTCCAACCGCTTCGTTGCCACTCAACAGAAACTGGTATCGTCGCACGTTCACATCTATCATATCATTGCCTGGCACACCGGCAGGAATTCAGAAAAATGCCTCTTACACCCCATCCCCTCATCCCGCCCCCTTTTGAAAGTTGCGCCACTTGGTTGGATCGGTTAGGAGCCGAACAGGATTTGATCCGCAGTATGCACACGTTGTGTGTTGCCACTTGCCTCTACACCACTTCCACCCTTTTTTTTAATATTATCACAGTACTACACCATAATGCGGAGTGTGCGTAGCCTATCCGAAGAGAGGGTTAACCAGCGGGGAAAGCTATATGTTCTTAAAGTTAGGTGTTGTTTTAAGCTCAAATGCGCCAGCGTTGTTTGGTCGACGCTGTTGGGCTTATTCGCGAGCTGTGTGGTAATTGC